GGGAAAACGAAGAGTTCTGCTTCTAACACAATCCGAAGTTCAACCTCCAGCGCCTTCACGCACGTTGCCCTTTGGAGTGATCCGTGCTTTTTGTGATGCTTGGGATGTTTGCACGACCATGTTCGTTCCTGGTGGGGGAGAACGCTGCCGCGGCTCCAACGAACTCGTTTCGTATAGAATGTGCTGGACTCTGCCTTTGTGTATCTTGAGGTTGGATGACCTCTTGTCTTTCCGACGTATTCGTCCCTACGATCTCAATTGCTCTCTGTGTATCTGGCTCTTTCCTTCGTAGAGGCAGAAGGGCGTAACTCCAGACCGCGAGTCCTCCAGGAAAAAAACAAGCACTTTTATATGCAACAGTCAAGAAGTGACGACGTATGGGTTGGACGACAGTTCACCCGCACCGACGACGGACCGACCACTGACTCACCCAAGAATGCCATCGCTTGCTTGACGACGAGCTCTTGTCCCACAGTGGTCCTCCTCTTTTCGCCGCCGGACAGCCCGCGCTTGAGAACCGTGCCGATCACGTTGTCCCCCACCTTGCTCAACCCCAGCCCTTCAATCACCTGCATCGTATTATATTAGGTTGATGTTGGAAAATATGCTGTACGGGACGCAATCGATCTTTATGTCCAGTCAGGACGGGTGGAGGGTCTCCATCGCAGCGTCAAAGCTTCCACTTGTACCGCATGACGTCTAAGGGTTTGTCACGAACGGCAGGCAATTGTTGTCCAGAATAGCATGCGTGGCGACGTCATCAAGAGGACGACGTACTACCGCCTTTGGGGATATGGATGTCGCCCGAGGGTTGTTTTCGGCTGTTCGCTTTCATTTCACCCTTCAGCAAAACCGCAAGTCGAGTCGTCGCCTGCCTTGCCTGGGCCCCACCCTTGATCCGACGTGTGGTGCTAAGAAAACGGGGCGTCTCCTTGTAGTGCATACAACGGAGGTCATACTGCTATGTAGTGCATACAACGGAGGTCATACTGTCTAAGCCGGCAGTACTGTACGTTCATGGTAGCGTAACACACCACGTGACTCGCGCCTGCTCACGTACGTCACGCACTGTCGTCGCCCTCCCTTACACGTTTGAGCGGTGGTATTCCTATGCATTGTTCGTTTCTGTCCACAGAAGGAGAGGGTGCTCAACTACTTTTTTGAAAGAGAATCAAAAGATGAGCTGGAGATAAGCATACCTCATTGGAAGCCTTGCTCGCCTCCTCAATTGTTCCCACATTCCTCAACCTCGCCGCGACTTCGAATGTTTCTCGAATCGTGAGGTCGCCTATTGTTGTTCGGGAGGCAAGTGAGTACGGGGTGGCAGCAAGGTTTAGCGCGAATGGGGGAGGGGTGGCCAGGGGGCAGGAGGGGGGACAAGGAAAGTACGCCCGTGCGTTGAAACAAAAATATTGCGCTGGACACACGGTGGCCGCGTATTGAAGGCTACCAGACTTGGAAGACGGAAGAAGCTGAGCTACGGTGGGCAATCTGGGAACAAAGAGCGATATATTCTTGTGAAATGGTAGTCACTGTCGAACTGACGGTGGAGAAGGCCACGCACGGACCGGGAGATGCATGTAGAGTTCTAGGGTTAGTTGCCGTACCCCTTGAGTTTGTGCGATCGCTGTTGTACGAAAGCCCGAAACAGAAGTTGTTGCTCACAAGCATTCTCGACCTTCAACGACGCGCCTAAACCTCTATTTATGTGGCAGATCAACAAGACTCTACAGACATGGACTAGCGGAATCAAGCGCCAGAATGAATGGCAAACGGGCAAACAAATTGGGTAAACACCTGGAGGTAAAAAGAATAACATAGATGGGATGATGTCCTGTGAGTGCTAGCACTGTAACAATGGGGGCGATTGGTACAATTGTGCTCTCCGACATTTGTATGTTTAGAGGAAGTAGTAGTAAGTAGCAGTTCAACAATTACAACAAGCTGAACACGCACACGGCCTAGTCAACATTGTACTCTCACCGATAAGGCTATCCTCCTGAGGCACAAAACCGAAACCATTGTCCTGTGAGTTCGGATCAATCCGCTTGCCGCAGAAGGTTACCTGATGCCGTCAGTCGACCAGTTGATTATTCGCTTGGTTGCGTTCGTGTGTGGAAGGCGGGGAGTTTAAGGGGGATAAGGCAGCGGTGCCGGTGTAACCGACGTGGTTGAGTTGGTGTTTACTTTCTCCGTGGGTAACAACAGATCGGATGATGTTACGATTTTGTTGACGAAAAACTCGTACAGGGTTGTATCCAGTATTAGATACTTGGGAATGCAACTTCGTTCCAAAGTCATCATGTCGTGTGACTAATGCGCGTCCGGGGTGGGAGTTCCAACGGAAAGAACGGCAGTTCTACTTCAACCGTAAATCGTCAGACTTCACCTCCCCAGCACACGAGAGCGTGGGCAGCCGGCCGGTGAGGACCTTCATAAGAACTGATTTTCCCGAACTTGAAGGCCCAAGAACAGCGGTAATGCCACCTAAAAACATTTGATGAAACGCAACGAACGATAAAAACAGATGTTGATTACTGGCCGATTGTCTGCAGGCTGCTGGCTGTGTAGAAATTCAACGAACAAAATGATGCTGTGTCGTACCGCAGAGAGAGCACATGCATCAGTTGTTGAGCTGGCGTGTGATGAATGTGTCCATTTAACTCACTGGGACGGCGACAAGTGCCGAACAATGTGGTGCCTACACGCCTATGTAGCGGATTGTGGAACAACGACCTCAAGCACTGAAAGGCACGTCGTGAAATGTACGCCATCGACGGAGACACGACTCTAGACAAGTGCAGTAGCCTCCTTACTCCACTTGTGGATCGGAAAGCGGAGTCCACATTGTAAAAAATATTCCGACGTGCGTGGTCGCATCAAGCGCTTCGGGTCGAACAGAACCAATGAGAAGATAGACCGCGTGAAGGCGATCTCTTCGACTGGTCTTTAGGGCACGACGCTGGTTCCGACCATTCGGCGTCTAGGTAAGTCAGAAACCTCAAGAGTGTTCATGTAGCGTGACATACAGCAGTAGACTACTAACGAAAGTATCGGAAGCTGCTGATATCATACGGTGCCCTCTTGTCCCCTCATGGCCTGGTGTCTCCGAAATGCTCATCTACACATTTCTTCGCAACGATCATACACATTTCTTCGCAAGTAATAAACTGCAGAAGTAGATAGACTACATGTAAAATTCGGGGGGAAAGGCGTATTGTTGCATGAGACCGCTGTCCTTTGCACTTCGCGCACCTTTAACCACAAACCCCGAGACGTTGGCGACAATGTGCTTAGGCGGATCGTCGGCAGATATGCTGACGTTCTGGAAGCCAAGCATGATGTTGTCGTCGCCGCTGCCGTCTTCCATATTGCTCTTTCCTTTCGATCTATCCTCTTCGTGCAACACCATGGTCGAGAACGGTAGATAGGAATTCCTCTTTGCCTTCGTTTTCGGTCTGTCGTCGTCGTCCGTGCTGGCGCTATGAACGCGATACTTGCCCGTATTCCAACCCATCGTCACCAACCCTCAGCGTTGCTGTGAGAATCGTAGTCATCGTTGCGAGCGCTTTTGGTGCAATTCGGAGAGGCCCTTGGTGGTGTGCGGGTGTCGGATGATGTCAGCGGCACGATGTCGGCGACACATGTGCCGGTCGGCGGTTTCAAAGCAAGCGTGACACGATGACACGATGCCGGCGACATATACTGCTGTGGTATTATGTCGAATCCATCTCTATATAGACTATATTTTTTTCTTGGTATCACACAATGAATCCATCTCATGTATCCTATAGGTTGGCGTTTCAAACCCCGAAAACTATTTGTCATGTACCATTGCCCGAAAAAAAAAATGGGAGGAGAGGTTAGGCCGCATCTTGTGTGTCCCATATGTATTGTGCAGCAGAGGGAGGGACACACTCCGCACCCAGATGACATGCCAAGGTGGATTCCTCTCGCCGTCTGCTGTTCGTATGTATCTCACTGGGCCACGACAGCAGCATTTCCCGTCGTGATGCCGGCTACAACTGGTGTAAAGCGGGCCGCCGCCGTTCTGGGGTCGGCCGGTGGTCTTTCACGAGTTGCATTCGGCACACAGCAGTCCACAACGGCAGCGCTGCCCCTGCGGCTGCCCCTTCTGCCCTCAGCGCGCCCAGCCGCGCGTCGCGTCTTTCAGCAGCGGATGATGTCGTCCTCGACCTCTCAGCAGCAGCAGGTATCGACGCCGTCATCGGACCCTGCAGCAGCTGCACCTCCCGGCGCCGGCGACAGGGCCAGCAAGCGGCGGCGGCAGGCATCGACGCGCTACATCCCGTCCGATTTCCGAGGCGTCTGGGGAGGCCCCAAGGGCAAGTGGAAGGCTCGACTCGTGTCCAAGGGACAACTGAGACAGCTGGGGACCTTCGAGTGAGAAACCACCTGTAGACTGTTGTTTCACCAACTCTATTCCAAACCGTACTGCTGTATTGCTTTGCCATGTATTTTGGCCCTGCAGTACAGCCCCTTCCTTTCATGTAGATCTAGTCCATGCATCCAAATGCGGTTTGAATATGTGGCAGCCGACAACGGTGATGGACAACAGCAGTCTACTGTGTACCGGGTTGGTTGTCTATGGTAGAGATATTCTACATGTGCTCGTGGCATGGTGTTGGAGCCTTGGATGACCTCCCGCAGTTTGCCTCGTTCCCCGCCCAGCAAGTCCAATATCAACCCGTTGTCTTTTTGTCTTCACTACTGCTGCGATCGAGCTGCCCAGGAGCGAACGGGATGCTGCTCGGGCCTACAACAAAGCGGCAAGATCTCTGCACGGCGCCGGCGCAAAGTTGAACTTGCTCCCCGACGACTTACCGGCAAAGGCTACCCAAGAGGCAGCGCCAGAGACAACAGCAGAGGCAGAAGCACCAGCAGCCGAACTAACGTCAGCAGCGGAGGCGTTCGCAGCAGAAGAGTTGGCGGTAGCAGCAGCGGCAGCGCAGGCGGAACGTGAAGCCGTACTAGCGGCAATGGCAGTTATCGAAGAAGAAGCAGCGCAGGCAACGGCCAAGGTAGCGGCGGAGGCAGTGACACAACCAACTCGAGGGGCAGAGAGCCGTGGGGGGAAGGGGATAGTCTCCGAGAACCCTCTCTCCGGTGCTACCGCCAAAAGCAGGAAGGAGAAGGCTAAGAACGGCGAGGGTGTCACGGGCGCTCCCGAGGGAGGAGAGGAAATCCCCGCCGCTGCAGCCGTCGCGCAAGCGAAGGCAGCAGCAGACACGGCGGGGGTGGCGGAAGCGGCCCCCCGTGCTGCCGCCGCCACCGCGGACTTCCGCTACCAGGACGAGCTCGATTTTCGGGACCTGGAGGAGATCCCAGAAAGCACGGGGCCGTCCTTCTGGGGGGACGACGACGACGCCACGCTGGCATCGACGTGGGCAACAACGGCCGAGCGACAAGGAGGCGGCGGTGATGATGATGGTGGCAAGGCTGCTGCTGCTCTTGTCAAAGAGGGGAGCAGTAGGAGCAGCAGCAGCAGCAGCAGCAGCGTCGCCACAACAGCCCCGACCGTTCCTTATCGTGGCCGGGCTGTCGGCGAGTCGAGCCCTCCGAAGTACACCGGGCTTGCAGAAGGAGGACCGGGTGCAGACGTGACAGCGGGAGCAGCGGGAGGGGAATCGGAGCCCGGTCCTGGCAACGGCATCCCTCCGGGGAACGACGAGAGCGCACTGGTGGTCCCCTCACCAACTTCCGCACCAGCTGCTAGCGGCAGTAGCACCACCACCACGATCAAGATGTCGCGTGCGGCGGCGGGGATGGCTTCCGTCGGGGGCGAGGCCAAGGCAGGAGTTGCTGGCCGTCGGAGGCGTCGTTCGTTGTCGACCTTAGCATCGTCGCAGCAGGCGAAGTCATCGCCACCGCCTCCACCACCTGCCTCTGCCGCGGTCGGCACCGGCACCTCGAGCTCAAACCCACCAGTAGCAGCGCCGCCACTACCGCCAAGCCACGTGGCTGCCGAACGCGTAGAGGGGGGCGCAAGCGTTGCCGCTGATGTCGCTGCCATGCCCAGCAAGGCGGCCTCAGAAGGGCCGCCATTGGCGCTGGCGTCACCGGAGACGGCGGGCGGGGCGGCAGCGGGGTTGGACGGTTCTGGTCAGCGGGAGGGGGGAGAAGCGAACGGCATGGGTGGGGGAGAGGGCTGGAGCGGGGAGGGGGGCGGAGCAGAGACGACGGGAGCGTGGTCCGGGGGGGGGGCAAGGTGGGAGAGGGATGAGGCCGAAGAAGACGTGTACGAGGAGAATCTCAAGGCCCTGGTCGGCGTCAGGTAACTGGGGGAAGCGGGGGACGGGTTCCCTCTTATTCTTGTTGCCCAAGACTATTGACACACTTGGCCACGCATCCCTTTGAAAAGTATCACTGCTCTTACATTCGAAAGAAAAACCTGCTGTTTCCGACGCTGCGCACGCGTTTCCGCCAAGTTCTACAACGCAACACGCTGTTTCGCTCGTCCGTTACTCCGGTGTTTGGTTTCGTTGTTTGGCCACTACTTTTTTCCTGATGGTGCGCAGCGATCGCTGTCTCCCTGTTTGCCGTGTTGTGAGGTACACGGGTTAAAGGTCGGGGAGATACAATGCAGTCACATATGGATGCAGTTTAAGGCATTTCACTTCTCCTTGTTGGTCTTGGGCCGTGTTTCGTTAGCTTCGAGTGTTGAGTGTCGCCGTCGCCTGCTTCTTCGCTGCCTTGGGCGCGTACGGGCATCACCTTGCTGTAGCAGTTGGTTTCTCGCGCTGGGCCTCTCGACGACAGCCAAGGGACTTCCACGCACTCCCCCTTTGAAAGGTCACTCGCTGCTCCCTTCCTTCCTGTCTGCCTGCCTGTCTCCTGCCCTTCCGCGCACAGCCCGCCCGCTCTACTGCCCACCCACCACACCCTTGTCGGATCTTTATCCTTTCCCGATATTCGTTTCTCAGCCGCTTCGTTTGTCCTTCGACGATTACAACGTACATCCCCTTGTTGATCCGTTCACCTTTCAACCTACTATTACCCACCCACCAACATGACGCCGCCGCTGGCGCCGCGGCCGCCGCCGTCGCCTGGCACCGCCCGTCCGCGAGAGCAGCACCGGGCCTCACGACTACTGGATGGGGCCGCTGATGGCGTTGACCAAGCCGGAGACGAGGAAGACGGCCATGCAGCTCACCGCCGACAACAAGCTCGGCTACCGCTCGTCCAAGGGGGGTCCGGTCAGCAAGGGGACTCTGTTGCAGTACGTCCTCGAGCAGAAGGAGAAGCACCCCACGAAGGTGATGGCGGGGGGTGCGGGGCGGGTAGGCACGGGCGGTGGTTCAAGTAGCAACGCTCGTCCGGACGTTTTTTCCTGAAACGTGCTGCTGCTGCTGCTGTGTTTTCGCCCTCCGTCCAAGCCCAAGATTGCTGTCGATATCGTGGCCGTTTCCGAGTCTGAAAATAGCGGTCGTGTAGCCACTCGTGCGAAAGAAAAAAGTAGCTCTTTCGCGATGTGGGCACGCGGTTTTGGCACGCGCGTAACGTGGGAGATGGTACCATGCGCGACGCAAGCGTTTATCCGGTAGCTGCTACTACAGGCACCACGTCCCCCCCCCCCCCCCCCCCCCCCCCCCCCCCCCCCCC